GGGCTCGTGTCCCTGCTTTACCACCACAACAGGTGTCCCCTTGTCCCGTCCTGATGGGTCTGTCTCAATGTAAGTATTTGCTGCAAAGGAACAAATACTTATTCAAAAAGCTGAATTACTATATGTATTAGTTTACAAAGAGAAGACCTAATAAAAAGACTGATTTTACATAATTTTATGTTTAAAATGTATCTTTTACTTTTGCATGTGAGAATAATGTGGGTTATTCAAGTATGCTGTTAAACCTGTTCACGTATAAAGGGGTTTCAGTTTGTATTCAAATTATGTAGAAAAAAGTTTTAAGGAATGTGTGCCTAAGGCATCTCACCGGATTTTACTGACTCATTCCTCTCCACCTCATTGGCATCCTTTCCAATCCACACAAACACCTGAGAGATGAAATCAAGGATCAGTGGCACGTCGCACACGCTAATCCATGAAAGTCAGGAGATATCTTTAAATACTAAAATAAAAATTGTCAGAAATCTAATCAGAGATAACTGCTGTCCTTTGAATCTTCAAGATAATCTCGGAGGAAGACATAAAAAGAGATAACTCTCTTACTTGATCCCAGACATCCAGTAACATGACATCGTCCTCTGCCAGGTCATCTTGGTTAAACTCACCAGGTACTTCTTCAATCTATAGTAGTAAAAATGCATGTTTAGTGTCCAAACAACAGTTTGCCTGTATGTAGCAGTATCTGAGCAGTTAGCACAGGAAGCCAAGTCATGTTTTACATTTTCAGCATAGTCTTCAATGCAGAATTTGTATCGAAAGCAAAAGCCTAATGTGAAACTGAACTGAACTTTGGCTCTCTCTTATCAGGTCTAGAATACTCACAATGAACTTTCCCGTTTTGTTGGAGCAGGCGAACAGGCGGGGAGAATGTGCTATAGTTTTGCTCTCCAACATCTCGGACGTCTGATACTCCATCTTTCCACCCAGAGCTTTCCAGAAGTCCACTTCAAATGGGAAAATGAGCAACAAGTATGTAAAAGTTAAAAGATGTAAACATCGTTCCACTCCTGTCACTTACCAGTGTGTGAGTATGAAGTATGAAGAGTATGAATTGATTCTACTGCACATTGCCCATACCTGGCTCATTTTCTTCAGTAATTGGCTTGATTTTGCACTTCAGCTTCTCACTCATGTATTTCGCCCCTCGTTCCTCTTCCTCACTGGCCCCCTTCCCTTTCCACAAATACCCATCCCCTTTAGGCAACTTCAGCAGGTAGGCATCATTGCTGTTCAAACTTGTTGCTTTAGCATCTACCTGTTAGACCACAAACCAACACTC